TCTCTGGAGACTTCCTTAACTCTGCTGAAGTCCCTGCACTGTCCTTGAGGCTGCCTAATTATCTCTAACTTGCCCAAGGATTCACCGATACTTCACCTAATTGAAACTAATATATCATTCCCCCCAATCGCAGAATGACCCTTTTTGTGGACACATGAAATACTTCTAAGAGAGTCTTGAAGTATTCCAAGTATTCCAAGAATAATTCCATATTCTGAGCCATAAGTGTGTTTTAATAAGTAGAAAAGGATTCAAATCCTCCAGAGTATGCTGCTGTGCACAACGGAATTAGGGACCCACAACAGAAGGAAAACTGGGAAATTCCCAGATATTTGGAAATTAAGACATTTCTAGTAAGGTATAAATTACAAGAGAAATAAGAAAATATCTCAAACAGACTGTAAGAGGAACAGCATTTAAAAAATCTATCCGATGCAGCAAAGCAGAGTTTAGAAGGAAAATAACAGCTTTAAACATTTAGATAAGAAATACCTAAAATGAACACCCTAAGCTTTCTTCTTAAACTTAAGAATTAAAAAGAAAAGAGTAAACCCAACCAAAAGAGGGAAGGAAATAAAGATTGTAGTTTAAATAAATGAAATAGAAAACCAAAAAAGGAATAGAGAAAAAACCCTGAAAAAGGAATAGAGAAAAAACCCTGAAATCAGTAGCTGATTCTTGAAAAGATGATCAAATCTAGACTGGAATTGGTCCATCACTATATAACATTCAGAAACCGAAAGAATTGGTGAAGGAATATTGCAAACTCTTCATGGCAACATACTTGGAAATGTTTATGGAAAGGACAAATTCTTACCAAAGACATCTGAAAAATAGAAAACCTAAGTCAAAGAAGTTGAATACGTAACTTAAACTCTCCCTACACAATAGCTTTGCGGGTGAATTCTATCAAACCCTTACTCAAACCTACACAAACTCTTTGAGAAAATACAGGAGGAGGGCCCCCTTGGCACGAAAGGGGTGAAGCACAGCACTGTGAGGCCAGGGAGCTGCCCACAGGGCTCGGCAGACCTCTCCTGTCTCCCCGGAGGCTCCCCTCAGCAGTGCTTTCAGTTAGTCTGCCTGTTCTGCTCCCCACTCTGTCTGTGGTGGATCCTCTCACCCCCCGCACCTCTGGTCTGTACCCCAGTTCTTGTACATATAAATAAATAAATCTTAAAAAAAAAATACAGGAGGAAAGAACCCTCCTTATTCATTCCACACGAGTACTCCTGCTCTGATTCAAAGCCAAATGGAGACAGCACAAAAAAATTTCACACTAATACCCTAATGAACAAAGCAAACATCCTCAATGAAATGTTAACAACCAAGTTGAGCCACATCGAGAGAAGGTGGCACACCAGTCCCCATGGTGCTCATGCCAGGACTGCAAGCTTATTTCAGCTGTTGATATTTGGGGTAAGATAATTCTTTGTTGTACATTGTAGGATGTATAGTAAAATTCTGAGTCTCTATCCCCAAACACCAGTAGCATCCAACTCCCTCTAATGCCCTCTAGATTGGCTTAAAGACTGACCATATTAGGCCTCCCTGGGGGCCTAGGGTTGAATCTCAGCGCTATCACTGCTACGGCCTGAGTTTGATCCCCAGCCAGGGAGCTGACCCACATGGTGCAGCAGACCTCTCCTGTCTTCCTGCAGCTCCACTCAGCAGTGGATTTCAGCAGCTCTACCTGTTCTGTTCTGCTCCCCACTCATCTCTGGGAAATCTTCTCACCCCCTGCACCTCGGGCCTACACCCCAGTTCTTCTATGCAAATAAATAAATAAATAAAATAAAGACTGACCATATCAACTGTTAATGTAGGGATACAGTCACTTTGGAAAACTGGCAATTTCTAATAGATTAAATGTACAATACCATCCAGTCAGTTTACTCCTATACAAGTGCTTAAAGAGAAATAAAACTCTATGTCTACCCAAAAACTTGTACTCAGATGTGCGTGGCAGCGTTCTCTATCATATCCCCAAACTGGAAATAATCCAGATGTCTGTCCTGATACATGAGTCAACAAAATGCCATGCGCAGAGGTGGCCTAGAACCTCAACGTGCTGATGCACCACAAAGTGTTGACTCTCAAAAACATCGCGCTAGTTGACACAAATGACCACATGTTATTATTATTTTTGTGAATTTTCCAGAACGTACGATACTATGGAAACAGAAAGCAGACTCGGTCTTGCTCGAGGCCAGAGCTAGGAGCGAGCGCTTCAACTACAAATGCGCAGGGATTTGCTCTAAGATCCCGTGGCTAAGTTTGCATGACTGTGCATTTATACAATTCGTGGATTGGGTGAATTTTATGATGTTGAAAGTATAACAGTAAAATGGGTTTTAAAAGGGAATGTATGGAGTGAAAGAACGTGCAATGGTGGGACGGCTACAGAGTGGGCAGCTGAGCCAGACGCCCTTGGAGCCAGGTCAGGAACTCTGGGTGTGGCAAAGACAAAGTCAAATGTGTCAGTTCTTCCAGATGCCAGACCTTCCTGAGCTCACACCTCTGCTTCTTCAGGTTTCCATCCTGGTTTCAGTGAAAGGAAGGCTGTGCATAACAAGCATCACCAGGACATTGTTTCAACTCTCCCTACCAGCAGGCACCAGAGAACTGGCCTTCCTTGTTGCAAAATCTCACCCAATTGTATCCATCAAACACTTAATCTTACTTAGGGTTCCTAAGGCTGAATAATAACCTTAATACTGCCTGTCAGTGCCTTACAGTCACTAGGTAGCATCAACACCCACCCCACCAGGTTTCCCCCAGCAGGGCTGGGGGCTGCCGATGAGGGGCTCTTACTAAAGGAACTGTCAACAGTCAGCCAGGCCTACAGTTGGCCAGACTTTCAGAAAATAAAAATCTCATTTTTTCCAACAAAAAGGTTGACTACTAGACAATCAAGCCGTGAACAGAGAAGGGAAGGGGTGACCCCAGGCCAAATACAGGCAACACGCACCAGTGCAGCGGGAGTCTGGTTTTTTCAAATTGGTACTGAAGGTGCACACGGTAGGTAAGAATAAAGTAAAGCAAGCAGAACAAAAAGAGCAAATTTCTCCTGGGCTCTCTGGGGCACGTGCAGGGAGGCCACACAGGCTCATGGACGTCCACATCATGGCCGCTGGGAGTGTTCAGAGCAGCTTCATCCCTAACAGCCCAAACTCAGAGGTAACCAGGACGTCCCTCAGCAAGCCGAGCTGTGGTCCCTCCAGATGCAGGATGCGCCTTTGGACACGGTCTCTTGCAAAGAATCTCGGTCCTGGGAGAACACTGAGCCCTACTGGCTCCCGGCCTCCTGCTGTGGAGCTCAGCATGCTGGCAGGAAGGCGATAGGAAAGGGAGATCGATGGAAGCAAAGGGGCCACATCTCCCCGGTTGAGAAATGAAAATCAGGAAACCCACAAGCATTTATTCCTCGCTGCCCCCACAGCGACGCCCCCTGGGTGATGAGCTGGCGGGCTCAGAACCTGGAGGTGTACGCCAGCCCAGGAGCAGCGGCGGCCTGCTGTGGTTCCACCACAGGCAGAAACTTTCCAGTGTGACTTGCAGCGGAAGTTAGAAGTGAGATCTGAGCCCAGAGGAGAGAATTTTCCCTCCCTGTGTGCTCTCACTGCTCTCTAGGTGATGGAAGTTCTGACTTTACCGTGTCCTAACCGCCCAGGGCACTGATTCATCTTAGCCGGCGGCGAAGCCGGAGGAGACAAGGCACGGTGTACCACCCCAGCAGGTGGCGCCCTCCCCTGCCTCGGCACCAGCTCGCCACCCCAGGAAGGCAGCGACCCCGCACACCTTTGCCAGTCACCCAGCAATTGAAATGCCGAAAGCCTTGGCTTGCTGAGGTCTGAGGGTGGGGGAGGGGAAGCATCTAAGGGCTAAACAGGTGCCCGGGTAGCCCGTTTCTTCCGTGTAAAAACTCCGTTATGGTCAAATCCTGTTTTTATTTTTTTAGATGAATTTAGTTGGACGGCTGGATTGTGTCTGTAACATTGCCGATATTTTCAGAACACTGAAGCTAATAAACTCTGCCTCCCTGAAGTGTACAGGAGGGGTAGGGAGGTGCAGTGGCTAATGGTACCAGAACCACACTTCCCAGGCCAAGTCCACCGCTCCCAAAGAACTTTGCAATTTTGGTGAATTTTCCAGAAGATGGGTTTTTCTCATCTATAAAATAGGGTTGGTGAGTAAATGGGTTCCTCAGGATAGAGCACTGAGCGCAGGACCTGGTGTAGAATAAGACTGAATCACCTCAGCTATCATCCCGGAGCATTTCATGTTTGCTCAGATGTTTATGCCCTGACCTTCCTGTCCATCTTCAAGGGGGTGAAGAAAGGGGCCACGGGTCTGCACTGCGCTGGGCCTTCTCTGGCCTTCCAGAGGCCCTGCCTGGGATTGTGTGTTCACCAAGGGGAACAGAAAGTGTCTCTGAGCTCCAGCTAACACCCACCTAAATCTCCTCTACCCTCCCCTTAGCTTTCTAGCTCCGGAGTGACAGGCCTCTACTTCCCAGCACTGAAGGCGCACTCTCCCAGCACGAGATTCCGCCAATTTAAAGTGTGGACAGTGTTCTTGGGACAAACTGACTGCTTGACGGGGAGGAGACGGTGAGGCGGCGATCGCAGCCACTGCGCACCCACCTGCGCAGACACTGAAAAGGAAAGCAGATACACCTTTGCAAAACGAGCCTCCCCCAGTGTGCTGGAAGGGTGGGGTGGGAACGGGGTGCGGGGGAAGAGAAGGGAGAAGAGGAAAGCAATGAGAGAAGGGTTACTCCAGCCGGATTCAGGGAGCCCGTTGTCACCTCATTTAATTCTCACGCCTCCGCACCCGCCCCGCCCCGCACGCTGCTCCTTCCTCTCGGGCGGTAATCTCAGGGCTGGGGTACAGCCTAGCGCGCCCCGGCCCCGCCCCCGCCCCCGCGCCCGGGGCCCGCCCCGCTCCCCGGCCCCGCCCCGCTCCCTTCTCCGGCTCCGGGCTCCGGGCCTCCGGGAGGAGCGCGCCTGCTGACCCGCCCGCAGAGCCCAGCGCGGAGCCGCACGTGAGTTCGGGCAGATCCGCGCCCCAGGTTCGAGCCCCAGGGCTGCTGGCAGGACTGAGGGGAGCGAGGTGCTCTGTCCGCTTGTCACACTTTTTGAAAGCGAAAGCGCGCGCGGCGCAGGAGCCCGGCAGCCGCCTCCCCGCGCCCCGAGTCAGACTGCGGGGCCCCGCAGGGTCCGCCACCCCTCAACTCGGGCGAGTCCGGGGGAGGCGTGGGGTGGGCGCGGACTGCGCTACCCTGAGCAAGAGGCAGGGCACGGCCCGGGGCTGAGAGGTGGCGGCAGGCGGGCTCTGCTCGGGGAGTGGGTGCGGGGTGCCGGCAGCTCCTTCTCGACCGAGGGGTGTGCGGCGGGGACGCGACCCCAGGCTGGAGCCCCCTGGAGCCGGCGGCTGCGCCAGAGGCGCTGGTGGGCTGGAGGGCAGGTGCAGGTCGGGGTGTGCAAGCCGTGGGGGCCTTTCCGGCGCGAGCCCTGGTGCAGACCCTGCACGCGCCGGAGCCCCCTCCGCTTCTGCAGGGCTTCTCCTGGAGCGCGCGGGAACTCCGCTCGGACTGGCAATGGATGGGCACCCCAGGAGCCGCAGGCGCGCGCGCGGCTCCTTCAGAAAAGCAACACGCACCCGGGGAGCTCCAAGGGGTCCCTAAGAAGAGCAGGGCGCAGAGAGGTGAAGGGAGCCGCCGGGCCCCTCAGGCAATCCGTGGAATCTGGGCGTCGGCGCCCGGTTGTTGCCCCTCGTGCCTGCGCCCGAGGTCTTGGCAGTTCTGAGAGTTTTCCGTGAATTCCCGCCCGCGCTCGCCGCTGTCCCGCTGGGCTGCTCCCCCGACTTTGAGCTGGTTCGTCCTCCTCCTGCAGAGTTTCCATATTTGGCGATTTCACATTTACTTTCATCGGAACTCAGTGTCTGGCTGCGGCTGCCTGGCTGCACTTGGCCGCCAGCCTGAGGTCGGGGAGACCCGGCGGGCCCGCCCCGCACCCCACTCCGGCCCCGGCAGCCCCGGGCGCTGACCCGTGTCCAGTACCAGTTTAGTACCATAAATATTTGCTGCGCCGTTGCTGCTAGCCAGAGGTGGGAGGGTGAAAGGATTCACTAGAGAGAGTGGGGAGCAGGATGGGCAGATCCACTGCTGAGGGAGCAGCAGGGAGACAGGAGAGGTCTGCTGTGCCCTGTGGGTAGCTTCCTGGCCAGGGATTGAACTCTCGCTGCAGTGGCTGGGATAGCTTGATAGTGCTGTCTTTAACCCCTGCACCCCCAGGGCTGCATATTAACAGGCCTCCCCAGTGGCACAGCAGGTGAGTGCAGCACTGTGAATCTGTCCTCAGCCTCTGCAGTACCAGTTCGATTCCCGGCCAGCCAGGGAGATAACCACATGGTGCGGCAGACCTCTCCTGTCTCACCTGCTGCTCCCCTCAGCAGTGCTTTTGGTCTATCTGCCTGTTCTGCTTCCTGCTCTGTCTCTGGTGAATCCTCTCACCCTCCCACGCCTCTATCTGTACCCCAGCTCTTGTATAAATAAATAAATCTTAAAAAAAAAAAAAGAATGAAAGACAAAAAGTTTGCAAAGAAATTGGTTGGGGGACTTCTGGGGACGGAACAGTTCTGGGGGCTGTGGCAGGACTTTAGGCCAGGAGAGCCTCTGCTGGGACCTCTGAAATTCAGGTGGCCCCTGTGCCCCCTCAACCCCAGACAGGGTGTTAGCAGAGTGAGGGTTTGAATGAAAACCTCATCCAAATGCTCCTAGCTAAGTGCTCCTATCCCCAACTGGGCTCCGGTGGGAGGAATGACAAACTGCCGGAGCCCATGTGAGATGGGCAGGGAAGTCAGCGGCTGCTGTTCACTCCTGTTGGGTTCTGCCTTGAGTCTGGAGTGCGTGGGCTCGCCTCATGCAGGGCTTGCTCCCTGGCCCAGACGGAGCTGTTCTCTGGAGACCTGCCCAGGGGCTGGTGGGACTTGCTGGTCCTCCGGGGCTGAGGTCTGTGTGGTGCGGATGGGAGGGGCTGTTTCCATCTAACAGGATGTCGGGGTGCCCCTTGATGGGTGGCAGGTGGTGGCACGGATGTGGAAGAGGACAGGGGCCCACTCCCAGGAAGCACCGCAAGCATGGGGCTGCTGGATACACAGAGTCAGGCCTCCTAGGGGAGCCTTGGGAGAGGAGTGTCACCTTTGGACACAGCTGCTGGACATGAGTGGCCAGCGTGGACATGACTTTCCAGCTGGGGGCTGGAGAGAGACTGGGCTGCCCCAGGCCTCGCTTACCACCCACAGCTCCATGCAGAGCCAGCTCCTCACCATCTCCCTATGGCCTCCCCAGGGAAGGGCAGGCGGGGGCGTCCCTTCTGGGGGCCAGTGCAGCTGCGGCTTAGAAGTGATGGAGTTTGCTGGCCCCACTCCTGAGCATTCTCAGCGCGTTTCAGTTACAGGAAGCTGAGGTTCTGGGCGGAGGCGTCCTGGGGCCAGACATGCCTTCAAAGCCTGCGGTGCCTCATCTGCTGGGGTCTACGGGCACTGACAGGCCAGGGGCACACCTAGAGAGCTCTGCTGTCAGGTTGTGCCTTTTGCTGATGCTCCTCTGGGGACCCGCCCCTGCAGAGCTGCAAGAGATGGGTGTGGGGCGGGGGGACTGGGGGAATGTGCTGCCTAGGGAACCCATCCCCAGGACTGGAGGCTCTGGGGGCTGGTCCCCCCCGCTGTGCCCTGGGGAGCTTGCTGCATTGCCCAGAGGAAATTCTCACCAGAGGGGTGGGTAGCAGTGACCCCCATGGTCCCGCCAGCCGCATCTTTTGATGAAGACTCTGGAGGGCCAGGAGGAAATAAAAATGAAAATGCTCATCAGCCTGCTGAGACAGAGCCCAGATGGAGCTGAGCACGTGTGTGGCGCCTCCAAGCAGGGAGGACACACGCAGCGGAGAACAGGCCAGGTGTGCCTGCAGGTGGCCCATGTTAGAGGGAAGTTCCGGGGTGCACAGCAGGGCACCCCTCATGCACTTTCACAGACCCAATGCTCCGTCTTCTCACCAACACCCTGACCTCCCCCACGGCCTTTTGTCTCTCCAGGAAACAGCGCCCCTGGTGTGACTTTCAGGATGCACTTAGCCTGTCTCCCTTCAGATGTCACTCCTTCAAGCACCGTGATGTTAACTGTAGCTTCCAGGGGCAGGTGGCAGCCCCTGCTGTATTTCTAGACGTGTCGCTATAGCCCTGCACCCATCTCGCGTGCTGCACCTTGCCCTCTGGCCCCGCCCGTCCTCTGCGTGTGAGCGGGGGCATGTGGGGAGGGGTGTGAACAGAGCTGGATCATTAGGTCTTACGCACGAAACTGTATAACATTAAATGCCACCCACGGCCTTCACATGCATGAAATGAACAGAAGAGAAGGTGCTCGCCTGATGTGGGAGCTAACCTTGTCCACCTGCACCCCTTCCACTTCCCTCCCTGGGATGGGTCCCCACCAGTGTACCCCCATCCTCTGACCTCTATCCCACCTATTCCCCTCCCTCTACACTCAGGTCTATTCTGGGACAGTCTTCTGGAAAGAGTAGCCACTCTGGCTCGGCTCCGGGCACCTGGCAAGTGGCTGTGATGCCTTTGGCAGTCCCAGCCTCCTAATCTTCGGTCGCCAGTCTGCCATGCAGCTGTCGCTGGTTCCTGGAGGGCACCGTGCCCTCCTGCTCACCAACCCTCCCTTGACCTCGAGCTTCTGGCTCTGGCCCTCCCCCCACTCTGCAGCACTGCTGTGGGGCCTGGGGGCAGCCCAAACTGAAGGGGAGCCCCTCACTGCTCCCTTCCTGGACAGCTGGATTCTCGGGACAGGCAGAGTCTTGACCATGATGTTTCCAGAGCCCCAGAGCCACTCCTCCCTCTGTACTCCCCAACCCTGCCAGATCTCTGCTCCCTCAGGCTGTCCCGTCCCAGAGGCCTCACTGTCTGCCCCAGGGCTGCATCCACCCTGCTGCTGTCTGCCAGGCCTTTTCTCTGGCCCAAGAAGCAGAGGGCGCTGTTGTGCAGGCTGCTGAGACCTCTGCGCCCCGTGGTGCCTGGAGCTAGCACAGCTTTGGGAAGGCGGGGCCGCCAAGCTGGGCTGTGATACACGGGTGGGAGCCTTAGGCACTGGAGTGCCTACGCCTTCCCTCCCCCCCCATAAAGGAACAACAAGGTGTCACCCACTTGGGGGCCTGGAAGGACCAAATGAGCCACACTGTTCACAGAGCTGAGCTTCGGGAGGACCGGGAAGCTGGTTTTCCTCTTACATGTTCCGTAGCCGCAGGGGTCTGGGGTCTCTGGGGACACGTGAATGTGCATGTAGGCGGAGGGCGCTCATGTGCAAACTAAACACACACTAAGGACTGACCTGTGGTGTGCAGTGAAGACCCTCACTTAGTCCTGTGCCTGCCCCTCTGGCCGTCCAGACCAGGCAGCCCTGGGAAGCCAAGGGAGTGGATGGGGCAGGGGAGGCAGCGGTGGGAGGCGGCAGGCAGCTGGGGCTGGTCTCAGAGGTAGGAAGCCAGGCTTCCTTTTTCTTTTTAATCTAAAGGACTTTTTGTAAGTAGGCACTCATGACTAGGAGACACTGAGCACATGACATACGTCACGACATGGTTTAAACCTTGAAGCCTTGGTCTCCGCTGCTATGCAGCGTGGCCTCGTGGGCAGCGTGGCCTCATGGGCAGCGTGGCCTTATGGGCAGCAGGGCCTCCTGAGCAGCAGGACCTCAAGGGCAGCAGAGCCTTGTGGGCAGCTGGGCCTCATGGGCAGCAGGGCCTCCTGGGCAGTGTGGCCTCATGGGCAGCAGGGCCTCGTGTGCAGCAGGGCCTTGTGGGCAGGCACTGATGCAGTGGGACTTGGCTTTGCTCCAGGAGGCTGTTCTTGGCTCAAGTCTCTGCTCTTGTTGTTTTGAAATTCTGAGGATTCTGGTCTTTGGAAGGATCGAGGGCAGAGCAGGTGCAGCCTCAGAGGAAGGGCGGTGCAGGCAGTGAGGCCACATGACCCAGCAGAAGGGAGAGAGGG